CTTGGGCGTAGAGGTTATATCCAACAACAATGGTATATTACTTTCGCAACGTCGTTACATTATGGATCTTTTAACTCAAGCAAAGATGCATGAAGCTAAGCCAGTTCTCACTCCAATACCGACCAGTCCTTCTCTCACAATCAACTCGAGCTCCTCTCTATATGATCCATCTAACTACTGCGAAGTCATTGGTAGCTTGCAATATTTACTGATCACAAGACCAAATATAGCCGTTGTTGTCAACAAATTATCACAATACATGCATCGTCCAACAACCGAACATTGGTCCTTTGTCAAACGCATATTACGTTATCTCATTGGCACTATCAATGATGGCCTCCAAATTTACCGTGACTTCCCTCTTAGTTTACATGCCTTTTCGAATGCAAATTGGGCAAGGGACAAAGACACATTTTGCTCCACAGGTGCCTATGTTGTTTATCTTGGTAAAAATCCTATGTCTTGGAGTTCCAAAAGGCAGAAGACTGTTGCTCGATCATCCACTAAGGTGGAATATCACTCTGTCGCCAATACAGTTGTTGAACTAAATTGGCTTTACTCTCTTTTATTAGAACTTAGCATTCGTATCCCTGGTTGCCCTGTAATTTACATTGATGATATAAGAGCCATCCAACTTTGCTCCAACCCAATTTTTCGTTCAAGAATGAAGCATGTTGCAATTGACTTTCACTTTATTCGAGATTAGGTTCTATCTGGCATTTTTCATGTTGCTCATGTCTCTTTTGAAGATCAAATTATTGATGCTCTCACTAAGCATCTTCCTCGACAACGATTCCTTCAACTCAAAATCAAGATTGGACATTGTTCTTCACCTCCATCTTGAGGGAGCATAATAGATAAATATCTACCACTATAAAAATATGTTGTGATATACAGATTTAGAGATTATCATTATCAGTATTCATTCAAAATCAAATTTCTAGATATATGTAAACTTAAGAGATAGACTTTATCTATTCTACATTTTAGGATTCACAACAAACTTCTTTTTGTATAAAGCTATTATTGGAAATGGAAAGCTGTAGTATTTTAGCTCAAGTCTTAACAACTTAAAATGCATATGATAAATTAAAACTCTCTTATTAATGAACTTTGTTCATAGTTGAATTGAGTATATTAAGAGTATATATCCATTAAAGACCTATGCGATTGACATAAGGGTGTACTCTTAATTATATAGAAAATATGATTGCTCTTGTTTGAATTCTTTTATGAGTAAATTTCTAGTTGAGAGGCTTCTACATGTTAGGGAAAACTTAGAAGGGTCATCAAATTTTCATATTTAGGAAAAAAATATCAGATGTAAATAATATTCCAGGAACAAAAAGAAAATAAGAGTATGGCATTCTGGACATAGTTTACAATTAATTTTATTTGAACCAAGGAATATATATTTTTGCAATCATTTATTGCAAATTAAATGTTGATATTATTAACTTGAGATGTTCTTATAACCTACATTGAAAACTTTCTTATTTTTCTGAAATTGATGTTATATATTTGTGCCCTTCTGAAATTGATGGAATTCACATGTACTTGTGTCAATATAATAGGTTTTTGAGTGTTTCTTTTTACCTCTCTGTATTTGGTTTGGAACTTCAGATAAGAAAAATATTAAAGAGAGAAAGCTTATTACATATAAATATAAGAACAAAAACCAAAGAAAAGCTGGCTAACTTTTCATATTGTTTGGAATAAATTCAATTTATTTATAAATCCTTACTTATTGAGCTAGAAAATGATAAATATCCTTCTTAAAATAATTTAAAAAAAAAAAAAACAACATAACCTAAACTTGGATAAACAGTTAAATTTTCAGCAAAGCTGAAGAAAATTAAAGTAAATCATTCTAATTCTAATATTAGGTCAGTTTTTTCTCATCCTAAAATAATTTATATTATCTCCTAGTTGAAATGAGTATAAATTTGACAACACACGACATTTCTTTGTTTATCAGCTTCTTGCATGAATTTGATTCCTTTTATTAATTTAATTTCCAAATTTCCTGGTCATTTTAATTGATTTTTGAAATACACAGTACACCATATACAATTTTCTTATATATATATATATATATATATATAGCTACAAACAGTCCTCTAAACCAGAGGGGCAAATCCTGTCATAAACTCTTCTCTTCTAAGACTATTGGCAGTTCCACATTCTCACTACCTCTAAGAATCTTTAAGATTACCTTATCACCCACATTGTAGTCATCCAAAACTTTGTACAAATCTGCTTTGTTTTTAACCTGACAAACATGCAAAGAATTATGTAAGTAATAATGGCAACATTATTTTTCACGTCAGTTTAATTTATATATCAGCACAAAATTCTTCATTGCTCTTATGTGTGGCACGTATTGGCATGTATATATTGTTTCTTGCATAACAAAAAGAACACGAACTTAAGTTCGCCAAGCATCTAAAATTTATGGCATAGAACTCGCTATAAGTTTAGGTTTTTCATTGCCAAAAGAAAGGATGCCCTTACTCCACTTGAGAAGGATAAAGGAGCATCTCAGATCAAATAAAGTTTAATGACAGATTTCGCATCTAGGTAAAAATCACATCATGAATAATAATCAATAAATATAATTTTAAAAGAATTTGGCACAAGTTCTGTGCTATTATTCCTTTTAGAAAATAACATTCCTCCTATTTGTTCTTTCACAATGTTCTTGATTCGAGGGTAAAAATTGTTTGATCTCGAATAACATTGATTTTTTTGAGTTTTTAATTTGAGGAGAATTTCCAAGCAAAATTAAATTTTTGGCAGTGTTTTTTATTTGAGGGTAGATACACTTGATCTCAAAATAGGGTAGGTCTTGATGGAGAATTATCAGAAGAAACAGTCAAGGCCTTGATTTTTCTTTTTTTTGACTGTCTTCAGATGATTTTGAATAGAGAATCTCAATCATGGAAAAGGGTTAAGATTCTCGATGCCTTACAATGATGATAGAAATTCTCTGACTTATTGGAAGATTTGTTGTAGAATTGAAATTAAATTGCTTGAAGATTTAACCAGAATCTTCTGTATGCCGGAAAGCTTGAGAGAAAGATGTAGAGGATGAGACTGGCTCTCACTCTAGAGAGGAAGACTTGAAGAGGAAGAAAGTTGTTCTTGAAGGCTTTGAAGATGGTGAGGTTCACTCTTGATCTTGCTTTCAACAATTTTGGAGATGAGGAGGTTTGCTCTTGCTTTGAAGGCTTTAAAGAGGAAGAAGCATGCTCTCACTCTTGTTTAGAAGACTTTTTGCTATCTCTTTTTGTGAATTCTCCTTAACTGTTGATAGAAGACCTCTATTTATACAGGTGGCAAGGCAGCTAGGATTACCTAAAACCCTAAAGTGTATTTGGTGTTTACATGTGTTAACATTTCATAGGATCATAAATAAGACCATATTAATTAAAATAAGCTCATTTGAAATAGGTTAAGTCAATTAAATAATAATTTTGTCCAATTAATCAATTATTTCATTTGTTATTGACTAATTAAATAATAACTTTGGAGAAATTGTAAAATTTTAATGTCTACATAAAGGATAGATTTTCATGTAGAAAGCTAAGAGGAATTAGAGGCTTTGGGGCCCAAACCTCCCTATATAGTTTGCTATAGAAATAAAAAGGTGAAAGGACAATAACCAAATAAGAAGTGAATGCATGAAAGAAGGAAAAACTTGTATTCGGTGAGAACTCACCGGTTTATCATCAACAGAGGTAATGATATCCCCGAGTATGATATTACCAGCAAAACCTCTTGAAGTTGGAAGCAAACCAGCCTCGGCTGCAAGACTATTTCCAGGAACCTATAGCACATACAGCAACTATAAGTGAATTGTGATCACCATGTTAAAAATGTCTTGAATATTAGAGATTCCTATCAGAAATTGATGGCTAAATTCCACCAGAATACCTGAAGGACAAGAGCTCCGTTTCGAACGTTAAGTTGATTTGCCACAAGATCTGGAGCAATTTCGACATTCAAACCAGCTCGAACAACCTAACATGGATTGACCTCAAAATTAGAAACTTAAAAAGGTCTCCAAGATTTTATAACATCAGCCAACAGAACATAATCCAGTTTCCAACTATTAGCTAGTAAGATTTTGACCATTCATCCCGAAAAATTTATGATGTTCACCAAGAAAACAAACCTGAAATAGTCAAAAGGTTAAGAGATACAACCTGCAATGTTAATAAAAATAGGACTTACTTTTCCGAACTGGATCAAGTTTGGCACAATCTTGAGCACAGTTGAGGAAGGAATGGCAAAACCAACACCAGCAGATGTACCTACCAAGCCATGAAACAGAATAAGAACCCAAGGCAACAGGAAGTGGTCCTTATGATATATATTTCCAGTACAAAACTATTCATAATCAAATCATTCCATGAAATTGGTGCACTAAAGAATTGGAAGAAAAATTCACCAGTCTGAGTAAATATAGCCGTATTAATCCCAATTAAATTTCCTCTTGAATCGAGCAGAGGACCTCCACTGCATCAATTACATAAAACAGTAAAGCATCATAATCATTTTGGTGTCGACTGAGGCAAAGAAAATCTGCCCTAACTTTCAACAAACAACTGTAAGAACCAAGAAGACAAATAGAGCCCAAGGAGAAGCTCCAGGATGCAGGAGTTGAGGATTTAATTCTCATAAATCATAATATATCCTGAACCAACCTATTTCCAGGATTGATTGCTGCATCTGTTTGAATTCCACCACCAATTGTGACTCCAGTTTGACTAAAAATGTCTCGATTCAATCCACTAATAACCCCAACAGTGAGAGTGTGATCAAAACCAAATGGGTTTCCAATTGCTAAACATTGCTGTCCAACTCTTAGAGAAGATGATTGTGCAACACTAATTGGCCTCAAGAGATCTTCAGAGGCTTCTACCTAGCATGTCAAACTACAATAATCAGCTATACCAGAGAGCATATTAGAAAAAGAATCCGCAAACTTAAACCATTTATTAAACTGTTATGAACGCAGAAGAGTGGAAACAGTGCAAAGAACATGTGTATTTGACATGTCTTCTGCAATAATATTGACTTTGCTCTTTGGAGAGGCTGTCTGACTTCTATATTAAAGCAATGCTATGATGTCCAGAAATTTCAAATGTGGCAGCTGAGTCAATTTGAAAGACGACAAAGAAATCTATACAGATGCAATGCATATAGGGTGAATAGTTGCTATTGCCCACAGCCATCCCTTTTTTCAGATAATATGTTCAAGTCAGATGTTTAATTCTCTTGCCAAAATAAAGGAAACCAAAGTAACCCGAAGAAAATTTATGCGTAAAAATACTGGAGTTACCACAAATTCATGCAATCAATCATGGAAAGTCAATGTCAAGAGTAATGCGTTGTGCTTATTATAGAATAATATGATTTAATATATAAAAGTTTGTCAGAAGTCTTTAACATAACTGTCTGATTTGAAGTAAATGAAGAAGAAAAGAGGACGAAGAAAAGGAGTAGAAGAAGCAAAGACCGAAGTCTAGAAGAGAAATAGATAGTTAATTTTATTATTTTTTCTGATGTTCTTACAAGCAATGGAAGAGAGCCCTTTATAGGCCTTAAAGCAATAAAGCAAACAATATCAGCAGCCAGAATCACGCGACCATTATCCGCGCAACGGCAGCCGCGGGATGAGATGATAGCTGCGAAAATGAAGAGATAATTAGGGTTTAATAACTCTAACCCTAAATGTTACATAAAAGACTAATTTGCCCTTCTCTTTTTATTATTTCCTTTTTTACCATTAATAGCCTGACAATACCCTCCTCTAGCATGAACCTTGTCCTCAAGGTTGATTTGGAAAAGCTTTTTCCTCGAGAGCCCGTTCTGTAACAATTTCCTCTATGGTTATTACAGTTTTATTTGTGCAACATTATCCAGGGAAGTATCGGTCTCCACACTTGTAGCAAGTAGCCGTTGCTCTTCTAGGTTTCGTATCCCTTTGGAGTGGATGGTCATAATTTCTTGTTTCATATACTTCTGCAACTTTAGCTACTTTAATAGGATATGAAATTCGGGACAGTTCTATAACATATTGTTCTTGAAGTAAAGTTTGTTCAAATGCTTGATTAAGAGTTTGTGGTTTGAGGAATCTTAACATGGGTTGTAGTTGTGGTCTGAGACTACTGATAAAGCTGGATATGAAAAATCTTTTTGAAAGTGTTGAGTTTTCTGTATCCATAAGAGAACGTAAGTGTTCAAATTGTTCTTGGTAGTCAAAAACAGTACCTATTTGAGATAACTTAGTGAACTCCTCTATGAAATCCTTTCGTGATGATTCTCCAAACCTATGACAAAGTTCTTCCACAAAATACTAACAATCTACAACATCAATTTTGGCTTGTCACTCGCAGTACCACATATCGTCCACTTCTCCCAAATATATCGATGCAATCTCCATTTTATGCTCGTCAGGAGTGTTATGGATCATAAAATATTTTTTGCATCTTCAAACCCTCCCGTGGGGGTTATTCCTTCAAAAATTAGAATTTCCACCTTAGGAAGCGAAAAAAATGGGCGGAATTGATTCTATGCATAAGATTCATTGGGCTGGTTCGAGTAGTAACCGGGCCGGTCTAGTTCAGATCGGGTCTGGTCAATTCAGTTCGGTTCGGTTTGGTTTGATTCTGTTCAGGTCGATTTTGTCTGCTTCTCCACCGGTCCGGTTCGGTCCACGGAACCAGACTTAAATGAGGGTCAAAACCCTTCTGCAGAACTGTGCACGCTACTCGGGGGGACAGCAAAAAGTTGGCCGCCGCTCGCGAAAGGAAGCAAACCTCCCTCTTCGCGTGCACCCGTTACCAGTTTTAGCTAGTCGTCCGTGGACATCCGAGCATCATTTGTGCCGATCGGAAAGGGAAACAGATCTCCCTTCTTGCGTGCATCCGTCGGCAGCTTCGGCAACTTCGGCCAGTCTTCTAACGGTGTCCCCATGGAACCATCCCATGATGGAACTCAGCTGTTGGCAGAATCCCCTCCTCATTTCATATACCTCTTCCATGAAGGAGGTAAGCTTTTGATCGATGTCCTTCATGGTGAGTTCGGGTATTTCAGGATTCTCTGGTTTGGCTACTATCGTGGTTTTTCCTTTCGAACGAGTGCGGGTTGTGACTCCAGCGAAGGATTCGGCCGGTTCCTGCTTTGATAGCACATTGTCAGAAGTCTTTGACATGACTGTCTGATTTGTAGTAAATGACAAATAAAAGAGGACGAAAAAAAGGAGAAGAAGAAAAGAAGACCGAAGTCGAGAAGAGAAATAGATAGTTAATTTTATTATTTTTTCTAAGGGACTAAGGCAAGGAGGCCCCCTCTCTCCATTGCTGTTTATATTAATAATAGAAGCTTTGGATGGGTTGTTGAACAAGGCAAAGGAGCTGCAATTCTTCAAGGGAGTGGGTGTGGGTAAAAGCGACTTGACTTTAGATGTTTCACATCTTTTTTTTTTGCAGATGACACTTTAATCTTCTGTCATCCAAATGTGAAGAATCTTCTTCACTTGAGATGTGTCCTTTTGTGTTTTCAGGGGGTTTCGGGTTTGACAGTAAATATACAAAAATCGGAGTTGGTTAAAGTGGGGGATGCTGGCAATGGGAGGCTGTTTGCGGCTGTGCTGGAGTGTCAAGAGGTATCACTACCAATCAAATATCTTGGTTTGCCTTTGGGTGCAAAATACAAAATCAGCACTTCTTGGGATCCAGTAGTGGATATGTATGAGAGAAGATTAGCTACTTGAAAGAGGAAATTTTTGTCCAAATGAGTTAGACTTACATTAATTAAAAGTACCATGGCCAATTTACCTATCTATTATTTGTCCACTATAACGATTGAGTACTTTGGGGAAACGATGAGGAGAATCATAAATTTCATTTAGTAAAGTGGGAGGACATAAAAAACCTCTCAAATACGGTGGGTTGGGTATCAGGTCTATTGTTGAATTAAATGTGGCTTCGCAAGGTA